TTCATCCCCAAAAAGATCACCCCAAATAATTCACCACAGAACTTGGCACTCCCAGAAGGCAGGGAAGTTACTACTGGYATTTTCTAAGATTCTCCCAAATAATCACTATTTCCAGCATTATTTGCAATACAAAGCTAGCAGGTAACTTGAAATGGGTTAAATCATCCTCAGGATTRCTGTGAGGGTRRGRAGGKTGCCCAGAGAAGCTGTGGCTGTCCCTGRATCCCTGGAAGTGTCCAAGGCCAGGGCTTGGAGCAMCYTGGGRYAGTGGAARGKGTCMGTGCCYRTGGAATCATGATCATTAAAGTAGGAAAAGACMTCTGKGARCATTAAGCCCAGGCATTGAGCWGACATGCCARATCCACCACKAAACCATGGCCYTGAGCACCACATCTACACTTTTGAACCCTTCTCGATGCTATTTGTAAATAGCATGAAAAATACGCACGAAAAATATAGAGAGAAACTCCACCACAGCCAGTCCTTTAAGCAGCATTTCACCTCTTCAGTCCACTGCTGAAAAAAGTCTTTCATGATTTTTGTACAGTGACAAGGAAGATTATCTGTTTCTCCCCAGCTCTGTCTGCCTCCCCAGAGAGGGCTTTTTAGCATAAAAATTAGCAGGTTTTTGGATAGCCCAAATGCTTAGGCACCTCTAAACCAGAGCTGGGATATGGTCAGAGCACTTTCCCCTCCCTGTTTTAAGGGAATCTCTGTATTCCTTGAGGATCTCTAAAGCAAAACGCTGCAAGGCTTCAGCCCAGTACTACAACAAATATATAATTACAGCCATAAAACCCAACAAAGCTCAGAGAAACTGTCCCCAAACCTCCCAAATAACGAAGCACAGGGGAAAACATCCTCACTCTGGGGTGTGGGACATCATCACACCCGGTGATGAACAGCAGTTGAGGGAAAACAACAGGGATTTTTTTTTTTTTATTAATCCCTAATGTCAGACACAGAGGTTTTTGGGGAAGATGAGTGGCACAACCCCAAAGGACCTGCAAGATTCCCATGGAGAATCAGGTTGAAGCCTGGTTGTGTCACAAACTGCAAGAGAAAGAGTTTTTATGGATTTGTTTGACAATTCCAAGCCTAAAGGGGCTTTGAAGTATTTGGCAAAGCCCTGGGGGCTGTGGTGGACGCAGCACAGGTAGCTGGAGAACAACAAATGCCAGGTGACTGCGTGCATTGCTTAGAGAGTGGGGAAAAAAAAATAAAAAGCAAGGTTTGCTCAGGATCTGTCTGTGAAGGAAAGGGCAGGCATTGCAAGAATTYAGAAACAACATCCTTAGGTGGAGATGGGCCAGTTGTGGAAGGAGCTGAGCACGTAAACAGCCCCTGGAGCAGGAAGCTGGCAGCAGCTCTGCACAGGGCTGGTGAGATTTCACATGCCTGCACATGGGGAATGGACCCAGCCGGGCCACCCTGAATTCCTGCAGAGCTCAAACCCTCGTGCTGCTCGGCTCTCAGATGAGCTGAGGGTGGTTTCTGGTCGGGCAGGAGGGATTAGGGTGGTTCCTGGTCGGGCAGGAGGGCTGTGAGGATGGGAGGGAAGCTGCAGCTCAGGTGGGTGCTCAGGCTCACCACCTGCTCTGCAGTGGGGAGGGAGGAATTCCTGCACATCCACGGGATTCMTCCTGCCTGGAGCACCTGGAGATGGAGCTGCTGAAGGCACCTGAGTCCCCACAGCACAGAGCAAGTGTTACAGCAGGATCTCACCTCCACAGAACATCGCTCTGCGAGGATAAAACCCCACTCACCCCGTCCTCCCTGGCCCTGCAGAGCTTCAGGGGGCTCTGGGTGCTTGGGGACAGGGCAAAGGGGCCACCCAGAACAGCATCACGGATAAAGGGACAAAATTTAAGGCACCTAAACCCCAGCAGCTCCTCTCTGCTGTTGTAGGGTGATAAAACTCCCAGGATAACAGGGGCACAGCTGGAGGGATCCTTGTTGTCTAACAACTGACCTCCATCCGTCCCCAAAAATACCCCCAAACTCCTGCTGGCAGCTTGGGGACTTCTAGAGGTTCAGATGGGGAGRAAAAAAAAAAAAAAAAAAAAAAAACCACCAACATGGCTTATAGGGAAAAATAATAACCCAAGTGCAAGCCCAGCCTCTCTGTAAATGCTGAGAGCAGGTATTTCCAGCAGTGTGAATGATCACCACCCTCATTCTGCACAAACCTTTAGAGCAACTCCCCGAGATTAAATCAGGGTTTTGCTCCAGCTCCTTTCATCCAAGAATCGTCAAGTGATTTACAAACAATTTTTAATTAAACCTCCTAAACAGCCCCCAGGGTAGTGTTACTGTGCCTGTGGGGGGAATCGAAGCCTAAAACAGCAAAAATATTACAAAAATCTTATCAAAGTTCCTCCCAGAAAAAATATATTGGAAGAGTCGCTCTGCTTTGATGCTGATTTGAAACCCCTCTGGTTAAACAATATTTTTTCTCCTCCTGAGGACGTGGCCCCAATTGCCTCCTCCTGCCCGTGTCAGGATTAGTATTCAATGGATAAAATGTTTTTTTGTTTTTTTTAACTGAACATCTCTGACAGCTCCTCAACAGACACGCACTCCCGGTACCAGGGAGGTAGCCCAGCTTTGAGAATGAAAAGAGGTGTTTTGGCAACAAGGATTTCAAACCCATCAATCTGTGGTTTGCTTTGAGCCTGGTAGTTGATCTCTGATAAAAGCCCTTCCTGCCCTTTTTTGCCCYCAGGACAGGTTTGAGCTGTGGCTCCTTTGAATCCCCTGAGAATAAAAAGTATTGTTTTTCTCTTCCTGATGTAATTTTGCTATCAGCCCCCCTCTGGGAATACAAGACGCAATGTAAGTAAAGAATAAATAAAACAAAACAACCCATGAAGATGCTTTAATGGGCAACTCTGAGCCCCTCCCCAGTGTGGTTGAATTTAAAGATGTTATTTGCCTGATGCCATGTTTTCTGCATCTCTTGTACATACTGGCTGTGCCTTGTCTGAGGCTGGTTTTATTCTGATTTAAGCAGGGATATAAAGGGGAATCTCTGCAGAATCAGGGGATTGGGGTGTGCAAGTCAGTATTTCTAGGGAAATTGCTGTATCCCAAAGAGCTGCTTGCAGAAAATTCAGCACCCTTGGGCTCATTCTGCTCWGCCCCACACATGGAGGCTGTCACCTCCCAAAAACAAGCCCCAAAATCCCAACTSTCTGCTCACCCACCCATTTCACATCCAGTTTAAACAGAGCAAATCACGCAGGCTTCATCCCAATCATTATTTCTTAAGATACACAAAATCTTACAAACCCCACTTCTTCCAGTTTGAGAGGGAGGAAAAAGAAAAGATGAATTTCAGGTTTTGAGTAACTCAGATGATCACAGCAGATACCAATCTTAGAGTTAARCACTGCTGGGACTCTGAGCCCCAAACACTCAGCAAATAGGGCCGCCTATCTTGGCCCCTAAGGAAGAAAATTCTGGTGCCAATACCCAGGGAGCRACATAAAAGCGTCTCTAAGGAGCTTATTTCAAAACTTAAGAGCAGCAACGAATGACAGAAAACACTGTTTTGAAGGATTTAATAAATTAATTTCTGAGAAAGATGTAATAGGATCACWTCAGAGTGCTATAGAAACAGGTCCCCACACTGCCATCCCGCTAAGTGCCCTTTTCGTCCCAATCCCAGTGTATTTATCACCTCATTTTGAAAAACAGAACAAAACCTTCTGGGAAGGCAAAGTCAGCTAAACTCAGCTAAATGCTGGCCAGCACAAGAAAAATTGCATTAACAGCTCCTACTTTATGCCAGTATTAATGATGCTCAGGGCTTCCTGAGTTCTAATGGGAAGAGAAATCTCCTTTAAAGCCCATGTTGGCATCAGGGGCAGATGGAGGTTTACACCTGCTCGCCCACCAAACCCCATGAGTCCCAAGAGGAACAGGAAAAAAGAAAAGGAGCAGGCAGAGATTTCAGCCAGACTTCTGGGAATTCACCCCCGAGTTAAATCCCCAGGGCCCTGCCTCCTCTTGTGCTTTTACCTCCGGAGCATCCCCCAGCTTTTGTTACCTTGAATAAAAGCACATTCAGCTCTGCAGAGGCTCTCCTGGGAGACATCACTTGGAGCAGGATTTCACCTTCTCCTATTTTAGTTTATTTTTTTTTTTATTTTTTATTTTTTTTTATTTTAATTTTCCACCTCCTTCAGTCTTCCTTACCAGGAACAAATGCCCCAGTCCTCCCTGCCTTTACTCACTCTGGAAAGAATCAGTGCATTTCCTTTCCCTGCTACTTTTCCATGTGGTTTATGRCCACCTCTGCAACAAAACACCCCACCAGAGACCCAGACCTCCCGCTCCATCACCCTGAACCCCAACACTACCGCAGGACCCCAAGCACTGTTTCCACTCCCAAACCCCCCCAAGCACTACACATCCCTAAGGGATCTCCAGTTTAACATTTTCCCAACTCCACCATCAACTCCCCGCAGGGATTTGCTGTCTCCACCGTTTTCCCCTCTCTTCTCCCGCACCATCTCCACCAACAGGGCTGATAGCTCGCATTCCATGGGCGCAGCACCTGACGCGCTGGACCACTGCAAGAGCAGCCCCGAGGTCCCCCACTTTGCACGGTGTGACCCCAAAAGCAGGGTGGGATGCACGGTGTGACCCCAAAAGCGGGTTGGGAGGCTCAGTGTGACCCCAAAAGCGCTGTGCGAGGCTCAGCGCTGCCAAAATCCCGACCCCCCGAGTTTGGGAAGCGGGATGCGGGAGGGAAGCGGCGGCGGGCTGGGYTCATCCCGCCGCAGAACGAGCCAGCACTGCGGCTCTGCGAGCTCCAAGTTGCGCTGCCGCGGAGCTCTGGATGTGCCCGGGAATTCCGATCGGCTCAATTGCGTTCCGCAGCGCCTTTTCCTCCAAACTCGCCGATAGTAACGGGARAAGCGGAGCGGGGCGAGAGGGCGAGGGATGCTTGAAGAAGGGAAGGAGGCTCGGAAAAGCGCGGGGGAGGCACTCACCGAGCAGCAGCGGCAGCAGCAGCAGCGGCAGCAGCCCCGCAGCCCGCATGGTGCCTCGGCGCGGCCGTCCCGGCGCGGCTCCCGGAGCTCTCTCCCGGCGGGGCGGGCGGGCGATGCCCTCCCTCCCCCGGCCCCGGCCACGGCCCCGGCCCTGGCCACGGGCCCCCCCTTCTCCTGCCGCCGGGGGAGGCGCGGAACGGCCCCGGACCGCCCCCGCCTCCGCCCCCGGCGCGGGGGGAGAGAGCGACGTGGGATCGGGATGGGGATGGAGCGGGGCATGCACCTGCGGAGGGGATCGATGGGATGGGGTCTGGAGGGGATTGGGGGTTCTCAACTTCATGGAGGGGTTTGGGGTTCTCAACTTCGTGGAGGGGTTTGCGGGTTTTGTTGTAGTTGGGAGGTTGGAGAAGGTTTAGAGGGTTCTTTGGGATGGGGCTCTGGGGAGATTGGGGGTTCTCAGGCTCATGGAGGGGTTTGGGGGTTTTGTTGTAGTTGGGAGGTTGGAGAGGATTTAAGGGTTTTGTTGGGATTTGAGGTACTCAGCTTCATGGACGATTTGGGGTTCTCGACTTCGTGGAGGGATTTGGGGGTTTCATTGTAGCTGGGAGGTTGGAGAGGGTTTAGGGGGTTCTTTGGGATGGGGCTCTGGGGGTTTTTGGGGTTCTCAGCTTCATGGAGGGGTTTGGGGTTCTCAGTTTCGTGGAGGGGTTTGGGGGTTTTGTTGTTRTTGGGAGGTCAGAGACGGTTTWGGTGTTCTGTTGGGATTTGGGGGTTTTGTGGTAGTTGGGAGGTCAGAGATGGTTTAGGTGTTCTGTTGGGATTTGGGGTTCTCAACTTCATGGAGGGGCTTGGGGGTTTTGTTGTAGTTGGGAGGTCGGAGACAGTTTAGGGTGTTCTGTTGGGATTTGGGGTACTCAGCTTCATGGAGGGATTTGGGGTTCTCAACTTCGTGAAGGGATTTGGGGGTTTCCTTGTGGTTGGGAGGTTGGAGAGGATTTAAGTGTTTTGTTGGGATTTGGGGTACTCAGCTTCATGGAGGGATTTGGGGGTTTTGTTGTTATTGGGAGGTTGGAGATGGTTTAGGGGGTTCTTTGGGATGAGGCTCTGGGGAGATTGGGGGTTCTCAGCTTCATGGAGGGGTTTGGGGGTTTTGTTGTAGTTGGGAGGTTGGAGACGGTTTAGGTGTTCTGTTGGGATTTGGGGTTCTCAAATTCATGGAGGGATTTGGGGGTTTCCTTGTGGCTGGGAGATTCGGAGAGGATTTAAGGGTTTTGTTGGGATTTGGGGTACTCAACTTCATGGACGATTTGGGGTTCGCAACTTCATGAAGGGATTTGGGGGTTCTCAGCTTCATTGAGAGGTTTGGGGTTCTCAACTTTGTGGAGGGATTTGGGGGTTTTGTTGTAGTTGGGAGGTCAGAGATGGTTTAGGTGTTCTGTTGGGATTTGGGGTTCTCAAATTCGTGGAGGGATTTGGGGGTTTCCTTGTGGCTGGGAGATTCGGAGAGGATTTAAGGGTTTTGTTGGGATTTGGGGTACTCAACTTCATGGACGATTTGGGGTTCGYRACTTCATGRAGGGATTTGGGGGTTCTCAGCTTCATGGAGGGTTTTGGGGGATCTCTTGGATTTGGGAGGCTGGAGTGTATTTAGGGRCTTTATTGGGATTTGGGGTTCTCAACTACATGGAGAGACTTAGGGGTTTCACTGGAGTTGGGAGGCTGGGAAAGGTTTAGGTGTTTGATTGGGATTTGAGGTTCTCAACTTCATGAAGGGATTTGGGGTTTTTGTTGTAGTTGGGAGTTTGGACAGGGTTTAGGGGTTTTGTTGGAGTGGAGGCTTGGGATTCTCATAGTGGGATTTGGAGGTTTCATTGGAGTTGGGAGATTCAGGAGGATTTAGGAGTTTCATTGAGGTGGGGATTCGTGGAAATTTGGGGAGGGGATTTGGGATTCCTAACTGCACAGGGGAATTTGGGGGTTACATTGGTCTTAAGGGTGGATTTGGGATTTCCAATGGGATGGGGATTTGAGGGGTGGTGAGATTCCTGCCTGCATGGAGTGGGTTTGGAATATTCGTAAGTGTCTTGGTTTGAAATCTTAACCCACAACAATAAGACTRAAAACTGGGAGGATTTGGGGTTTTCGTCAGTCTGGGCTGTTTGAGGGAGAATTTATCATTCCCCTCTATGAGGGGTGGGGTTTTCAATGGATTTGGGACATGGGAGAGGATTTGGGGTTTTCTTTGGAATGGGAAGAGCAAGGATGATTTGGTATTCCAATCTATATAGGGGTGATTTATGTTGTTTCACTAGAGTTGATGGAGGATTTGGAGTTTTTATCATGGTGAAGACTTGTGAGGGACTGGGAGTTTTTATCTGGATGGGGGTTTGTAAATTGMTTTTGGATTCCCACCCACATAATTAAGGATTTGGGTTTTTTGTCTGGATGGACACTTGGGGATCATTTTGGAATTCCCACCTGCATGGCAAAAAATTTGTGGGTTTTATGAGCATAGTGGTGGAGGTGGATTTGGTATTTTCATCTCAATTGGAGTTTGATTTCAGATTCATATCCATGTGTGATTTACTTAGGGAGTTTCACATCGATTGGGTTCATTTTGGCTTTCTCACCATGGCTGGGGGGGGTTTATTTGCAGTTTTCATCTGGAGGTGGGATTAATTTAAATTCTGCATATACATCACCCACTGACCCCTCCTCCTCAGAGAATGTTCATTTTTCACAGGAACATTTCTAGGAAAGATTTCCACCTGTTTGAGAATGTCTCAAAGGAAGCAACGTGCCCAAAGTACAAAGGACAAAATGACATTCAAATTTTGGGCATTGTTTTGTGTTGAGGCACACAAAGTTGTTTTGTGATATTCATCCAAGAAACGCCTGCTGCAGCTGGGAGGAGACTGAAAATAAGCTCAGAGCTTTGCTCTGAATTCCCTCCTGGTTCTGCTGGGTCCAGCTAAACCAGGAACCTCCCCAGCCTGGACCMAGAGGTGATAAAGACAACATTCTCTCCAAAAAACACCTTTTCAAATATGGTTTTCTTGATGCCTTCAGTTAAAAGCAGAYTCCATTCTTGTTGCAAAGTCACCTTCAGAAGAAAAGGAGATGCTTGGGTTTGCTGGCTCAGCCCTCCCTGCTCTGCACTTTGTCCCCAGAAAAGGTTTCTTGTCCTGATTTAACTTTTGGGTCAGTGCAGAGATAATTTCCATGAGCCTCAGCCCAGCCTCACCTCTTCTTGCTACAACTCTGCACTGCACAGCACCCAAAAGCTGAAACTCGAGTTGCAATAAATGAATGAATGTGTTGGTGCACGTTATCAATCCTGCCAGCATCAGAGAGGCACTTCCTTCTCTCCCTGAGGAGTGAAGATAATAACTAATTAGGATAATAAATAATTTAAAATGAATTTATAAATAATAATAAAAATAAATTTAATAATATAAAYAAATATTTGAATATAATAATTAATAACAGATCCCATTCACACACACACACACACTCTCCCAATTTTTGCTGCCAAGAGGAGACAGCCAAGGGAAAAACCTGATCTCCTTTAGTATAGCAGTGACCCTGGGATAGAGAGGAAGGAGGTGATGCTGAACTGCCCAAATTCTCTGTTTATRRCACCAGTGCCCAAAAAAYCCCACAAAAATACCCCATGGTTCGCTGCTCACAGGTAGCAGTGTCTGGGAGATGGGAGTTTCCCCAAGGTATGTTGCGTGTCCTCTCTGAATGAATCTTTGGGAATTGCAGATGACAACAGAGCTTCCTTGGCAGCAACCTAAGGAAAACAGAATGGCCTGAAATCCACTTAAAAATCAGGCTGGGTTTGGTTATATTTTATAATATTTTTAAAGAGAGTTAGGAGAAGAATTACATCTGGTTGGTGCCATCAGCAGGTCAGGCCTTGTGCAAGGAGGTGTCAGCCTCACCCTCTGAGCCTAAATTGTCTAGACTGATAATTTGGGATGTAGGTTTTATTTTCATTATCACAAAAGGCACCCTGGCACTCATGCAGGGAGTTTTGTGAGTTCTCAGCAGACCTGTTGGATTTTTTCTYTTTTTCCTTTTGTTTCCTCAAGCCCTGGTTGCTGGCAATGGGCGTGGGGGCCGAAATGACGGAGTGGTCTCCACTTCTTGGAAAAACTGATTCATTCAGAAATGTGTATGCTAAGCCTCCTTTTCCAGGAGGGTCTCCCATTATTCCTGCTGCTTTGAAGGGTACAGGTGCCTTGCCACTGATATTGGCCACTTATAATTAGGAAATAAGGGAATAATTCCTGAGGGTGTCAGATCAAGGCTGGGAATCTTGAGCAGCTTTTGGGGGGGGGGGGAAAAAAAAAGGAATATTTAGCATGACTGCTTCAAAAGCTGGGTGTCTGTTAAAACACATCCAATGCCCAAATATCASCTGAGGGAAAGGAAATTAGGAAAAAACCCTAATTTGGGAAGCTGGGCACTTCTAGGGGTGTCAGAAAGGTGTTGGTGTTTCCCAGAAAGAGGTAAAGAGTCTGTGACACCCACACATGCAGCATTGCTAACTGGGAGCTTTATCACCAATGTCCCAGCTCTGGAGTTTTTCCTAAATTCCAGCCTCACRGGGCCAGGAAGTTATGTAGAGGCTTTTTCTTTCAACTCCAAACATGAAAATTGTGTCTTACAGATGGAGGAAAACCCTTTGGAGAGTGTCTTGCACATCTGTCTGAGAAGTGAGAGCCAAAAATAAGAATTTCCTTTAAAATTTATTATTGACATTATGATTATTTCAAATCCCATGGGCTTAAAAACACAAGTGTGTCTTTTAATCCTGACACTGCTGTGGCTGCACACAGGTTCACGTGTACCTGGGTCTGTGTGTTCCAGATAAATATTTATGTAAGGCTCTGAGAGAGCAGCACAGGGAGTCAGCGGTTTCCASGTATGTAAATCAGCTGGGCTGAAACCTTCACAGGAGGAAGAAGACTCCACCTGACACAAGATTTCCTTGCTGGGGAAATCCCAAAATGTTTTTATGATTGCCCAAAGGGTACAGACCCCCCATTTCTTTTTCAATTTAAAAGCAAACCGGACCAAGGAGAAGAAAACATAAAGTAGGAGTTGTTCTTGTGCTTCACAG